ACACAGGTCAGCTGGCAAAGAAAGACACATTATAAGAGTAAGAGAAAAACCAATTCACTCTTTGAATTCATGTACCTCTCCCACAGCAGTCTGGTTTCTGTACTGACCATGCCCACACAGGTTCTTGTGATCCAGGGTTTGGAGTCGTCATTCTTGTACACGAGCAGTTTTCCACTCGTGTCCCCCACGACCAGCTCGTTCAGCTACAGCGAACAGAGACACACAGCACGTTTACTTTGCTGTGATGTGGAACAAATGTTTATTTAACCACTGTGAAAGATAATCTGAAAAGTAATTTGAATTGCGGTTCATGTGCTGATGAACAAATTTCCCCCCGGGATCAATAAAGTATTTCCGATTCTGATATTTCTTCTTTTTCTTTAAAAATAAATTAATTTTCTGGTTTCTAAAATAACAAAAACTATCAATAAAAAGCTGCATGCATACTAAACTCTCAAAACAACACACTGAGTACAGCTACGACATTTTGACATTAAATCAGGTATATTCAGCATGCCACCAAGAGATGTGTGGGTTTAAATCAAGCCCTGTTGTCAATAACATCAGCACATAGATATAAAATTTAAGGTGGCAACTGTTCCTGAGTTTCATTATCAATAAAGCTTGATTCATTGATTAATTGTTTGGTCAGAAAATTCAGAAAAATGCAGATCAACTTAGTATAGACCAAGGTGACAGTTCTCAGTCTTAAAAAAATAATTTTTAAAAAATGACTAAGCTTTAAAAGTCTAAATCAAATTATCTGCAAAAAATTTACAGCATAAAATATTAAACAGATTTTTTTTTTAAAAAAGCCTTAAACAGATATTGATATTTGAGTTTTAACAGCACATAAGAATAGGAGCAACAGTAGCAATAAAAATACTCTTAATATATATAAACTGCACAAGATAAATAGTAATATTATTAATACTAGTAATTAGTTACCGCCCAAAACTGGTAACGTTACTCAATCTGCATCTTTATTTATCCCGGTTGACTATGAAGCATTAGCGGTGAACAGGTAAACGTAAACAGAAGTTCCTTTAATTACCGAGTCGTTGTCTGCATCTCCCAGACAGATAGCGTGAGGAAACAGCGTCCCTGTGAAGTCCAAGCTGACACGTTGAACGTAGTTTAAAGACCGCATAGCCACTGACTGCAGCTGTAAGCCACAACCGGACACATGCAGCACAGATACAGTCGGCTGAGCTCGTTTGTTGTTTGTTTAATGACCTTAAAGGCCCGTAGGTTACATATATACGCGTGTGTTTTGTGGCTAATGTCGCTGACACGGTTCACACGCTCGCTTCTTCCTTGTAAACAAAAGCACGTGACCTGGAAGGTACGGAAGCTCAGAATAGACTGTGCTTCGCTTAACGTTATTCTAGTGTTATGTTGGAGGTCACGTGTGTTATTATATGTTTTCCTATGAGCGTGTATATTGTTATTTTAAAGGCTATTAAACAAATGGGAGTTAATGTAGTTGGACTGAAACCTTCGTCTTGTCCTTAATGGTTATTAATTATTAATTATTAAAAACATAAATAGTTTTTATTTTGACTCACACCTCTTGTTTTTGTTTTTAAATGACACCATAGAAGGGAAAATGTGTTTTTATTCAGCTCATCATCATATGAAATCCACTACACAACAAAACATTATTAACAACAACAACAAAAAATGACATTGATATAAACTGCTCCTCCTGTGGAAACATAGCTGTCATTGTTATCTCATATATATCTCTCTTTTTTTATTATCTTAGCAAAACTTCACATCCACAGAAATTATTTTTATAACAGTAAAAACTTTATTTAAGAAATGCAGCAGTACATTAAAACCCATTCCAAACTCCAACCCCACATTTTATTTGTATTTCTCTTGGAGATTATTAAAAAACGTTGCTGTAAATATGCCAGAATTAGTCAAAAAGCTTGTTTCCATAAGTCGTCCCTGGCCAGGTGTAAACACTGTCAGCATGAAATCAGTGTAAAATCAAGAAACACGGTTAAATAAACAATAACCATAATTTAATTCATGTTAATTAAGGTAAAAGCAGAATATGGACAACAATAAAAGCAGAATTGTGTTTCAGGAGCAAAAGAAAAACAGATCAGCCTCACAACAACCGAGCAACAGTAGCATTAAAGACTCCTAATATATTTAATTTATTTGTTTTTCTCCTTTTATGTTTCATTCACCCTTTAACCTCTTTACCATTATATAAAAAAGTTCTCTTTAACTCCCAGTGTCGGTTTCCACTGTTGTCCTCTAGAGGGCGGTGTTCAATTACAACTTTTCACGTCGGGCAGAAAACTCCACAGACAAGCAGGAGGAGGTGTTTACACAAACATCACACAGGAGGCAGAAGTCCGTTACAGAAACAGTCGTTTTATAATACCATGAGCTCACTGCAACAAGGTGGATTTATAGTTTTGATTTATTGTCACATTCTTTTATTTCCTTCTTATCTTGCATTTATATGTCCCACTGTTTGTAGGCAATAAAACAGTATGCTTGTACACTTCTGTGTGAATAAATGTTAACAATAAAACTGTGTGGTGTGAAAAACTAATAAAAAAGTTGGTCACATAAAGTTCATTGTAACTTTTAGTCTAACTCTTGTTCCTGTACTGTGTGTATAGAGGCATAATGCATTTCCCTCTCCTCTTAGTCTCTGAAGGTCCATGTGTGCTGAAATGTTCACACAAAGTGTTGTACATCATTATTAGAAAATATTTTACATATAATATTTTATTAAGATTCCTTAAACCCAGTAAAAGTTTAGGAATATAACCTTTGCTGCTGTGTGACTTTAACTTTCTGCATACTTTAAACAAATGCTGCATGAGTCTTTAAAACATACATATATTGCTGGTGCAGCTGCCGAAAGAAAACATGGTCAGAAAAACAGTTTTTAATGACAAACAAATGAGATTATCCCTTATATCACACACAAAGACTGAATGCATGATATGGGTGCTTATGAGTGTTTTGTTTTATTGTCTCCGCACAGCTGAAGAAAAGACAAGAGATAAATACAGAAAGTGGTTAAAGGGGAACTCGGGCGCCCAGATGTCATATTAATTATTACACTCAGCTATGACTGGAAAGCCCCTCAAGAAAAATGAGCGCCCTCCCAGCCTCTGGAAGACCAGCAGCAGCAGCAGCAGAGAAAGTCCTCACAAAGCGCTAATTGGACTCTGGAAGCACACTGACAGGGCATGGATAGGTTTCAGAAAGCCTGGCGATGGCGAAGGGGTGCGGGGGGAGGCTGAATAGAACCCACGCTTCTTTTCTAAACTCTCTTGCTGGGCCACAAAAAAAAAAAAGGGAGAGAGAATAAGAGGGGGGAGGGAAAGAAAAGAAAGTATTGGTAGTGGGTGGGGAGAGGAGGGGAGGGCTGAGCTGGGCTGGGCTGGGGATGGGTGGGGGGGCTCCTCAATGCAAGCTTGATTTTGAATGCCACTGCCAACGCAGAAAAATTGCACAATTTATTACAATCCCCTCTTCAGGACGCGCGTGCACAGACGCACGCGCGCAGAAATAAAGAAACAGGGGAGGGGGACAGAGGTTATCTGCACACACACACACACACACAGAAATTGATTGTATTTGAAAGCATGGAAACCCAGATAGACAACTTTATGCGTAAAAACTGAAAAATTACGCACACACTGAAAAACAATCCTGGTTCCCTCTGCACATGGACGCACTACACACACACACACACACACACACACACACACACACAGAAATAGAGAGGGTGCTACCGTTTGGTCTTGGTTTTGTTCCGCGCTGAAAGACGTGTTTTATTATTCTGCACTTTTCAAAGCGACAATAATCGACAGAACTCACCGCGCCCACGCTACTGTAACCATATCGGGTGTATCAAATCATACACAAAGCCTCCTCCAAACAGCTTCTTAGGGCCCCTCCGCAGATTTGCGCCCCTCCGTTCCGCCTGTGCGAGGCTGATGATCTGCTCTAATCAAAGTGGAAAATTCGGCCTCTGATGCACAATGGTGCCTCAAATGAGCGGCACTGAGACGCGTCTGTAACGTTAACAATAAAACTAGACTGTGTTTGAGTTGAAACGCCAGCGAGGGGCTGATTTACTCCAGCATGAGGAGCGTTGTCGTAAATCTGGACGGTTCGCTGCGAGGTGAGCTGTCTTTCAGCACCACGGCCTGGTCCAGAGCGGCGGAGAAAGAAATCACAAGAGAAAGGAGGATTATTCTGATCCTGAAATATGATTATAGTTTATTCCTGCTCCATTGCGCATGTCTTTACTTTACTCTGGAGATCTGGGAGGGTTTTAATTAAACAAAACGATCCATCATTTGTTTTTGAAAACACAAACTCTGAAACACTTCTTCTTTTTTCCAGCAGACTCGATTTGAAAAATACTGAGTGAGATGTTTCTGATCAAACCTGTTGAAACGAACCTTCTGAACCAACTTTACCTCTCAGTACAAGTCCGTACACACAGCTTAACTTGAGAAAAAGTTCATATCTTCAGGACTGAGTGTATAAGGACTTATTGGAGCTGATACTTCGTGCAAGTTAAAATGTATTTGTTAAAAAAGGTCCATAAATGGCACAATGTGAGCGCTTCTCTTCATATTTAATCTCCAAAATAATGACAGAAACTAGACAATATGCTCCAATAAAAGTTGTAAAGCGATCATTAATAAAACTAACCCCCCCCCCACTGTGTGTTTGCTTTGGTGCTGCAGTTTGTAACTGAGACTGAACATCTTGTCCTGAACGGGAAAACTTTCCTCTCTGCGCTGCCGCACACCTAACTGACACCCGTGATGATAGAGAGAGAGAGAGAGAGAGAGAGAGAGGGAGAGAGAGAGAGAGAGAGAAAAAAAACTCACCACTGTTTGTTTAGTGCTTCAAGTGGCACGCGTCCGGCGCGCGCAACGCACCGGCACCGGGGCAGGAGCCCAAGGTGAATCCACGCGACAGGAGGGCGTGGCCACTCCTCCATCCAGACTTATTGAAAAGCAGTGGCGTCTTTCCTCGAGGACTCAGAGCAGCTTTGAGGAGCGCGCGAGGCAGCAGCCAAGCGGACTGCCCCCTGAAACAAGTGCGCGTCAAACGGTAACACCACGTGAACGGCACGAGCGGGACGCACCGCCTCAAGACTTGGTGATTCTAAGTTGTGTTTTTTTTTTTTACTGGGAATGGACCTCACAGCCAAGATGGAAATTAACATCAGCCAGCAGCAGCTGATGCCGCCCGCTTGTTTCTTTTCCGCCGCGGCGGCGCAGAGCATCCAGCTGAGCCCCAGCGGCAGCAGCCAGAGCAGCGGGAAGTCGGTGTCCAAGCAGCCGAAGAGGCAGCGCTCCTCCTCCCCGGAGCTGCTGCGGTGCAAACGGAGGCTGAATTTCGCGGGTTTCGGCTACAGTCTTCCGCCGCAGCAGCCGCACGCGGTGGCCCGGAGGAACGAGAGGGAGCGCAACCGGGTGAAACTGGTCAACAACGGCTTCGCCACTCTGCGGGAGCACGTCCCCAACGGCGCCGCCAACAAGAAGATGAGCAAAGTGGAGACGCTGCGCTCAGCCGTGGAGTACATCCGCGCCCTGCAGCAGCTACTGGACGAGCACGACGCGGTGAGCGCGGCGTTTCAGTCCGGCGTCCTGTCGCCCACCATGTCGCAGGGATACTCCGCTGACATGAACTCCATGACAGGGTCACCGGTGTCCTCCTACTCGTCCGATGAGGGCTCCTACGACCCCCTCAGTCCAGAAGAGCAGGAGCTGCTAGACTTCACCAACTGGTTCTGAGCATCTATATGAGGTAAGATGAGACTTAATGAAACCACAATGAATATCAGACACTGTTAGAGATAAACAATGATGATCAACAGTATGAACGGTATCTTAACCTCTTCTCTTCTTCCTTTTTATCACAGAAATATGGATCAACTCAATTTACTGTTGTTGCGCGCTTGGGATGGTCCCGGAGGAGGCTGGCTGTCCTCAAGAACAAGACGCACCGCATACGCGTTTTGGTCCTGCGTCCTTAACGCCCCGGTCCTCCCAGACCGACAGACAGACAGACAGACAGACAGAAACGGCCTTAACGTCCTAAAAACTTGTGGAGAACCAGGCCAGAGATCAGCGCCAAAGGATTAAAGGAAGACGGGTCTCCTGACAGCGTGGGAATCCAAGCTTCTGTGCATTTGCCCATGATAAACAAAAAACAAAACCCTAAAGTGAATTCATGCTCTTCAGCAGCACATTGAAAACATTATTTAATACGTCGCTCTTCAACTATGCTAAATCCAATCACAGAACACTAACCCTTTGGTAAACCTCTCAGACGTTTTAATTCAGAAAATGCTTCCATGTCGCGGATTTATTCTATGAAATTCTATATGAAAACGCTTTTTTGAAATATATTAAGATATTTTTGTATGTAAGAGATTTATAGATGTTTTGTACACATCCTTTTGTATATATTTTGTCTATATATTGCGAAGTTGCTTCTATACCTCCTGCCTATGTAGACGTGTAGTCTATTACTCTCTGGCTCTTCTGTTCATGAGGTTTCCAGAAGGAGTTTGACACTCCGACGTTTTATTCTAGCACCAATGTGTCTTATTTAATAGCAAAACCATCTTATTGCATTATGTCATGAAGTTCACAATGATCAAAACTTATGCAGCTATTTTCCAAACAGAGCGCAATGGCTATGCATTGTCTCTTTACACTGCAGCTCTATATTGTCTTCACATAAACAGATGTTGGAAAAAAAAAAGAAGTCTTATAACCATATTTTCTACACTCTAGTCCAAGAATAAAATGATTTGCTACTGAATTATTTTCCATGTCTTATTTTGGGGGTGGGTGCAGAGGAGGGAGGGAACCTTTGGTGACAGCTTTGAACAAGTGGCTTGCAGCATACTGGAGGGGGAAGCGAGAGGGCATGATGGAGATAGAATATGATAAGATGCACACACACACACACACACAGGGGGGACGAAACGGAAAAAGCAACCCGTCTTTTACGCACACTTTACGCACGGTGTATAACCTCTCTCTCTCGTTCTTTAATTCAGGACAAAGTGGCTCCTAAAAGCATTTGGGTAGAGGCCCCCTCAGTCAAGCCATTAATGTCCAACCTCTGTTGTAATAGTGGACAGCAGAACAGATTCATTTTGCGCAAGCGCAAATCTGGCACCACAAGTTCGTAAAATGTAATCCTTCTCCATTACAAAGCTTTGAAGTTATGAAATGCTATTGTCCGACTAAACCAGCAGCTGTAACATACAAACACTGATGAAGTTTGTTTCTCTGAAGAAATGGATCTTAAAGTAAACAAATCATAAATATCATAAATATAAACAAACAAACATTCTATCTGTTGCTCATGAAGCAGCTTTAAACTGCGTGTTTACCGTTTCTGGCATTAAAGAAATGCAAACCATGTTCAAGTGGATTCACCATGTGTACCAATGTTCGTGCACACAGACGCGCAGAAACTGAAACTAAGCTGTTGCCTTCGGATTTTTTTCATCCGAACTTCTCAAACCAAGTGAAAAGAAATAATGAGAGCGTTTGTCTCGGAGGGAGTGTCAGTGGGAGGACTGCAGTTTGGCGACCACCAGTAGTTTTTCGGAGGTAGAGTTTGGGTTTCTGCAAAACGAAGTTTGACAGGTAGAGCGGAGGCTGCAGCCGGACGCGTGTCTGGTTTAATGAGTGAATGGGGTTTGTAGGGTGGTCGAGTGGAGACACAGAGCTGAATTGGCTGATGGCGTGTGCCTCCTGACAGCAGCATGCCGCTGAACACACAACAATCACCACCTGGGAAGGAGAAAAAAAAAAAAGCCCAGTGTGTGTGTGTGTGTGTGTGTGTGTGTGTGTGTGAGGCTTAAAGGAACTATAGGATAATAATAATTCTGAGAAATCTTATCAAATGTATACATTCACACATTTAAGTCTCTCAGATTTAACAAAAGCACAAAATATTTTATTCACAACAAAAAATAAAGTGTAAAACAACGTGGTGCGTTCAGGGTCATTGTGTAAGATGCGCGTGCGCCACCTCTTTTGCTCTCAAAGGAGGGTTCATGGGCCACCAGGGGGCCCTGAGAGGGGGGAAGAGGGTCCCTTGACAAATGAACAGGGCTGCAGCTTCACTGTTACTCACAAGTCTGTAATCAGACACAACTAGCAGGTTTAAGTAAAGTCAGTCTAGTCAAATGTTTTAGAGTCTGAGACGCAATATTCACATACAAGTTTAGCCTGATTTGTGAGCAGTTTATTATTTTTTAAGGTTTCCAACAGACTTATTAATTAAAGTCTGTGATTGTTTAAACTGTTAAAAGTCATTTATTAAAAGGTACAATTCAAAATCCAAATCAATAAAAAGGTCACCACACCTCCAGAGGAACACAACTAGAGCTTGCTATCTTTCCCAAATTGACTGACAGGGCTTTTTAATTCACACATACCAGACAACAACTAAATCTTTTGTTTACAACAGGATCACAGTAGTAGATTTGGGCCCATATTTTCACAAAAAATTAAAATTTTTAACTCAAAGTCAGAATATACCTCAAATCTGTATAAGAAAAGGGCTCATTTGACTTTTAACACTCACCCTGTACATTTTTATTTGGACAAACATATGAACAATAAAATATGAAGAATGGTGCCGGATTTAACATATCATGTATAATAAAAGACAATATACATATACTCATACAGTTCCAGACATACATAACAAACATAACATAAGCAACACACCTTCACTCTTGTACACACATGTGATGCAATTCGACATGTAAAAGCTTGAGTTTTTGACAAAAAATATCCTGTTCTGTATTTTTTCTGTTCTCCAGAGTATTTGTGTTTGCATTAATATGCTTTTACAGCAACATGTAGAAACATTTCTGATCCAGCTGTGGAGAAGATTCTGACGTAGCCGACACAATCTGAACAGTAAATTACAACTAAACTGAGGCGGCTGGTTTTGGGGAAACCTGGGAGAGATTTTATTGGAGTTTTTTTCATATCTTGAGTTGAGGTTAGTAAAACTACAAAACCCCAAACAACACTATTTGTATGATGTTCAAAACTTTGGAGACTTAAAGTACCAGTGTGTAGGATTTAGTGGCATCTCATGGTGTAGTGGTAGATTGCAACTCAATATAAGGTAACACAAACGCAAATATTCTTATTTTCATGTGATTATACAATAATGATGAATATTATATTCCCTTTCTGTGAATTGATCCTCCTAAATGTTACACACTGGACCTTTAAACCTTCTCAGAGCTTATACAGTCATTTGAAAACAGTAATAAAATCATCAAGCAAGTCATCCTTAAGGAAGTATAGGTAAAATCATTACTGAACCTGTTAGCGACAGATGGTAACACGCACAAATTGCTTGTTTAGATTCCTAAAAGGTCACAGCAAAGTAAGGGAGGCATTGCATCTGACGGAAGAAAAGACAAAAGTAGGGGAGAACACTGAAGACAAACACTGATAAGAACACTTTAAACGTATTATTATAAATGGCAGAATTGAATATATGTATCTAAAGAGTTTAAAAAGCAGGTTAAACATTAAGTTGAAGAATGAGTTTTCTCTCGTCTTTTTTGGGGGGTTTACACCAGGACATATGTTGCTTACAGGACGTCCCTGATCTAACAATCCTGGTTTTGCTGGCTGTCGGAGCTCATTATGTTTTCCTGTATGGCGGTCTGTCAAGCGTGTATGAACTGCAGGAGAGCACGGCCGTATCTAATTGGCAAAGCCGAGGCAAAACAATGGCTCAAACTATATCAGTTGAATATCTTATTGAATATCATTCATCAGCATTGATTAAGTTGGATAGAAGAGGACAACAGTCTGAGTGGCTTAAATATTGTTTTATACTCCAGAACAATAAGCAGTTGTTGCATCAGAAAATCTACGTGAACCCACCTCCGAAGCAGGGAACAGAGTTTTTATCTACTGCAACCAAAATAATGGTTCTGTGGTGCGTTTAAAGCTTTGTCTAACTGCAGTGTAAGATTTTTTGATTTCCACCCACTGCTGCAGAACATTTCAGGACCATAGACAGCACTTTACAGCTCTATGAAATGTCATGTATCTAACAGAAACCATAGAAGGCCCATTTAATGTAGCTTTGTCCTGTAGGGGTTCCCATACATATCTTTTATTATCCTATTAATTATCAACATATCACAGAAGTTAATTCTGCAGAAGTCATAGCTGAGAATAAAATTAAGTTGCAGAATTTCATTAGAAAGGACCAGTGTGTACGATTTAGCGGCATCTAGCAGTGAATTTGCAGATTGGAACTATTTGAATACAGCTCAGCCCTCCAAGTGTGAAAAAGGCATAAGGCTAGAGTTAGTGATTGGTTTGTCCGTTCTGGGCTACTATAGAAACATTTATAGATATCACAATAATGTTGTCATTTCGAATTCTTTTGGCCACGATAATCTTGTAGTGAAAATTTGATATTGTGACAGTGCTATGCCCGGCTAACAACCCACCAACGTATAACTTAGCACCATTTCCAAAGGTAACAGATATGTCACAAGCTGTTGTTCATTTTGTGAGGAGCAGGTTATGTTAGGAACAGACTTGGAACTTCCTTGTTGCGAGAGCCAAGATGGCAACGGTGCAAACTGGCAGGTCGCGCCAATTCTTGCTGCATTCACGTAATACTGGCAGAATGAGAAAAACACCTTTTATTTCAACTTGTGAAATCCCCAATATCTTCGACTTGTATTTACAAGTTGGAGGCTGACATGAACTGTTTTTGCCACTCTGCTGGTCGTAATTACAGTTCAAACGGATGTGGTATTTCCTGCTTGCAAATGCAATCTAATAATCCCAATGAGTTGAATGAGTTGAAATCACTGTAAAATTATTGCCATATTAATTGCTGGTGTGTCCAAGCCTTAAAGATCATGAGAGTTTAACAACATTACTACAGTGCCGAGCTCGTTGCCTTTAATCTAAGCTTTCCTGTGTCTTGCGTATCACCTTCTCACACAAGAGTACAGTACTGATAAGTGTGGCGGCAGTAATGTGGATACCTGAGCCGCACAGGGGTGGACGGCGCAGTGACTGAGGTCAGAGGTTGATGGAGTCATCGAGAGGGTTGGAGATGACAGACTTGTGAATGAGCATGAATAGGGGCAGGTAGGCCAGGAAGTCCAGCAGGTCCAGTGGAGGAATGTGCTGCAGCTCCAGTCTGATGGCTGCCTCCTGCTCCAGATGGATTCCCCCGGCCTTCAGCTCCAGGAGCAGCTGCTCTGCGCTGATGAAGCCCTGCTGAGCTCCGGTGTCTCCTCGCTGCTCCTCCAGGAGGAACAGGAACAGTTGCTACATAATAATAATATTGGACATAAATAAGATTAAAAACAAGAAAAACTGTCTTTAGACTCCGAGCACAGTTGTGTGGGTGTACGCTCATGTTGTGAGTAAGAGTGTGTTATTGTGTGTGCTCCTTAAGGGCAGCCTCGGATTACCTCAACCTGTTTCTAGTCTTGTTTGAGTGCACCTGTTTGCACAGTTAATGCAGTCAAGGTAATAATTGTTGAGGTACGGGGGGGGAATAATCCTTCTGGCAATTAGCCCATTCCGCCACCAACCTCTCCAGTTAACAACCCTATCCCTAACAGCTCTATAATTACAAAGCCTCCCCTACCTGGCCAGGGCTCAGCTTCCACACCCATGGCCACAGGCTTTCATGTTCCTCCTGCCTTTCAGTTGCTCAGTACTTCCTTGTATGAATGAGGGCCGGGCCTGCTTGTGAGCGACCAGCTGGTAGGCTAGTCCCGGTCCATCTGAGATGAGCCGTGTGTCTCAGGCTGATTACAGGGCTGGGCGGAGTGGACGGCATGTTCACTGCTGGGCACTTTAATGAGATTAGGCCTGTGCTAATCTATGAAAAGGGAAAAGCACCCCTCTCTTTCTCCCTCTAGCTTGCTTCCCTCATTTCTATGCATGAGGGCTGAGTGTCTCTCATAAAAAAAAAAGCTAGCTTTACAAAGCATGCTTTGGAATTGCTCTTCAAAGTGTTTACCAGTATTTATTTCATTGTAATTATACCCGCGGAGCCATGAAAGAGAGGCGGAGGTAGTGTTTGTGGCATGAATGTGACTAATGTGAGAGTTAATCTGTTGTTGCATGGAGGTAATCAAGTGCACCTTGTGAAAGCAAATTCAGAGTGTAAACATGTGGTCGCACATATTAGCCAGCAGAAGTTTAGGAGAATTTGGGAAGAGCTAGCCAAACCGGGGAATTACCTTCGCTTTGAAGAGCCTCACTTCTAACGAGCGGAAGTCCATGTCGCTGATTAGAGATCGCATAAACTCACTGCAACAAAACAGCAAAATCAGATGGTCAGATGGTGAAACTCTGCAAAAAAAACATGTGCAAGCGGTAGCAAAGAAATACTCAATTTTCAAAAAGATATAGGACTTGCAAGAGAGAGGCCTTAGTATGGGTCAAGCTGGATCCTAGCCTTCCTACCTGTTGAATGCCTACACCCCTCAGTGGCATCCAGAGCCACAGAGGACATTACACAACTGTTTTTGCAATAGTAATACGAAACATGACAAGTAAAGTTAAGCGGCAGCGCACCTTTAACAAGGCCTACGTCTGTCAAATAACAGTAAAAATCCATTTCACCCATCTTACCAAAGTAAAATCTATCCAAAAATAGGAGTGTTTGTAAAATACTTTGTTTGCCACTGCAGACAAATTTAGGACAATCAGTTTGCGGTGGCGTGTGTTTTTTTGGCGCTCTGTCTGATGTGTTTGCAGAGATGTGATGGTAAAGTGTTCTGAGCCCATTGTGGTTGCTCACAGTGGCCTGGTTGCCAAACAATACGTTGACACACGTGGACATCCCGCCACAGTAACGGATAAAACTGCTCTGGTTTTGGGACAGTGGGTGTGTGTGGGGGGTTGGGGCGGGGGAAGAGCTGGAGCAGGGTGAGTAGGGTGAGCGGGGTTCGTGTGGAGGTTTAGGGAGGGGAATACGCAACCAGGGCACACTCTGGTGCAATGTGACCACTCACAGACCAACAAAATCTAGGTCTGCTCGGATAATTAGAGGGAGACACGACCAATTGTGTTGGGACAGACCTCTCCAGTCCAGCGTGTGGCACAGCGACGGTCGTCCCTTCTCTAACGAGCGCCCGGTGTTAATGAGCCCCTCCTCGCCGTGCGCTCAATGGCCTGTTGGAGCAAAGAATGGCCAAGCGCTGGGCCAACGAGTGCAATGCACGCCTGAGTGGTCCCAGTGCCGTGATTGGCCCTTGTACTCCAACCATGGTGCAGGCAGTGGCTTGATGGGGATGGAGCGAGACAGGGCAGCTAATGATCATTAATTGCACTTGGTTTGCAGTAAAATAGTCCAAATGCTGGTGTGGTAAGGACACTGGCGTGATAATGGCTGGCGCAAATGAGGGGCTATGGGACTGGGGATGGACGGCGGGGAGGATAATAGCAGCCTAAACCATTTTCTTTTGTCGGCCCTCCTCTGGCACCCTGCTGTGGACTACACAGTAGACTTCTCACTTACGTAACGCCCCAAAATTTTGGCGCTCTCCTCATTTGGGAGCGGGCATATAGTGAGGCGGGGGGTCAAGAGATGCAAACATATTCTGACCTAGTTTGACTTGACAGAATTGAGAGTTGTTTTGGGATATTTTTGAGCGGGCTGCAGTGACGCTGTGCAGACTGGTTACGAGGGAACTCTCTGGAGGAGGATGGACTCTTTATGTGGCGGGGAGCTGGTCTAGGTTCTGCTGTCTCATGTTTTTGCCAACATTAGCCCTCCTTCACTCCCTGACTCATTGAGACCAGTACATTTCCAGGAACGAGGAGACTTACAGTAACCCTCAGTGCATGCATGCATGCTCACAAATCCAACACAAGCAACAAGGGGTGAGAGCGCCACTAACAATGACCGCGACGGCTCCACTGAAGCTGTTTGGGAATCCTGTATGGCAATGTGCTTCTTGGCAGATCATGTGACTTGCCCTGAGGGAATGTGGCGCTGTGTGAGATGGACTTGTTGGGGAGCACAATGCTACACAGGGACAGATGGGCTGAGTCAAGGGCCAAAACAGCACGGCACAGAGGGTGAGAGGTAGGCAACAAGAGAGCCGGAGAGATTAGAGACATGAGAGGGACGGACAGTTAAAGTTGAAAAGAAAAGAGGGAGAGCGACGGGGGGAAGGGTGCAATTAGTGCAAGGTAGAATTGGAAGAAGAAATACATGTAAAAATGTGGGAAGCACCTCTTCAGATTTCAAAGCCTTACGTGATCAGAAAGGCTGATTGTGTAACTACTGTTGCAGCTCATTTCTAAGATAGGATTAGATACAACAGGATTAACTGAAACAGGTAAGAGGATCAATTTAGTTCAGTTGGGATGAGATGACAGAAGGATGCTATTGTTTTCTCCTTGTTTAGGAGCTGGCATTATGAGCACTGATCTTCTCTCTTCTTCTTATTTAAATTGCAAAAAGGAGTTTTGTGAAAAGAGGTTTAATATGGTCATTCATTATCATTACTATAATTGCCTCTATACAGAGGAGACACCCTGGTCTCCCTGTGCCAGTGGGGCAGTCAGTCTACAGGCCTCCTCTAATACACAGCACAATGGGCTGGCCGTAAATCAGAGGACCCATGACCCTGGCCCTGTCCTCGCTGAGAGGGAGCTCTCACTCCGGGGTGAAGCCTTTGGGAGCAGGCCTTGACCCTCGGAGACCTCCAGAGTAGGCTTGGCTCCACACACTCCTGTCTGTAGGAAGCTATATACCCCAGGGCAGGAAAAAAAAAAGCGATGTGTGTGGGAATCTGCGGCATATGGGGCATAATATAGAGACACAGGGACGCTAAGGCCGAGTTCAAATCAGAGCGATGTTCTCTGTCTGCGCAGGGTTCAACGTAGGGTAGCTATTATTATTGATTAATCTGCAGATTATTTTCTCGATTCAAAATGTCAGAAAATTCAGTTCCCATGACCCAAAAGAACACGATCACATGTCTTGTTTCGTGTGACCAGAAGTACAAAACATAACCTATGTTTTTATCTCTGTTATAAAAAAGACAAAGTGAACTGTATGCATATTTGGAGATAAGGTACTGTGCATAAAGGCTGCAACTAATGATTATTCTCACTATCGATTGATAGTTTAATCAATAAAATGTCTGTATTTGAGCATTAGGAGCTTTATTTTCTTTAATCAAATATCTTAAATCTCTCGTCTTTTTTCTTGTTTGAATATCTGCAGAAATATTCTTACTGCACAGAAAGATTTGGTTTCAGGATTAAATTATTGATAACTAATAAAGCCTGAGGTGATTCTTGTTCTTGTTGAACTTCTTGTTTTATTATATAATTATTAAGTGATATCATTCAGAGAATCTTTACATTTTAGAAGGTGAAACCAAGCAATGTTTAGCATTTTTGCTCAACAAATGACTTGATTAATGAATCATTTTAGTGCTTTTGTATATGTGGCCATCACATCTAAACTCATAACTTTGACTACGGAAGTCACATAAATGCTTGAAGATGAGGATCAATGAGAGCCCCACACACGTCGACTAAATCACCGGAACAAACTTGCGTACACACTCTTATTCTTGTTTATGGCAGGTCAGGGACTCCACAGTGCAGAGTGTGTCTGCCCATGGTCACTTACTCCATGGTGGCTATTTTCTGTGCCAGACTAGAAATCACAGCAAAGAGCCTCAGGTCTACGAGCCCATCTGTCACTCTGAAGTCCACCATCTCCAGGATCTACAACAACAAAAATTTTTTTTTTTTAAATATCTCAACAACTATCGGATGGATTGCAAGGAAATTTTGTACAGACATTCATGAATTGAATGATTGAACTTTTAATGTAACATTATACAAAAGACGTGGAAGAGGGTGGGTTGGAGTCTCTGATTGGGCTGTTATGTGTCAAATTTGGCAACACTGTGGAAGTGTGTGTGTATATGAATGGTGTATTTGTATTTGCATGTGTAGAGATGTAGTAAAAGCCGACCCTGTAGACGTAGATCTCCTCTTCATCAGACAGCAGCTCGGGGGGGATGATGTTTTTAAGAGCGAGTAGAACCTGAAGGCAGGAGATGTAGCCGTCACCATCACTGTCCTCCTGCAAAGAAAGACCATCACCATCAAGATCAGAGGTCAATGGCATCACAAGCAGACATGAGTATTCAACTTTTCAGTCTGCACAATTACACCATTAAAAAAATTATATTTTATCATTTGGAGGGTTAAAGTTCTTGACCTTAGAAACAGTAGCTTGACAAAAGAGTGACAAAATGACCATGAGATGCAGTAGAAAGCACCAGGAAATGTCAGTCGTAATACATATTTTCTTCTATTATGCCTTTAAATTGTCCAACCATTGATGTTGATAAAACAATTAGTCAATTAGGTGATTGACAGAAAATGAACCTGTACCAATTTTGACAATTGTTTAACCATTTTTAAAGCAAAAGTTTCAGCTTTTTAAATGTAAATATTTTCTGTCGTCTTGGTCTTCTATGATAGTAAATTGATTAACCTTGAGTCTGGACTATTGGTTGGACAAAAATAATGTAAATATGTCAACTTGAGTTCTGGGAAACTGAAATATAATTTTTTTGTTTTACTATTTTATAATATGGATAAAAAATAAAAAATATCACCTTATTCTTAATTGGGAGTGCAACATATTACAGTGAGTGAAAGAAAATATCCCAAACATAAAGGGTTTGAATGTCTTTTCACTTACTGCTTCAAAAGCTCTTTTGTACTCAGCCAGCTTCTCCTGACTGAAAATGCAATACTTTGCCAAAAAGTCGACTGCAAAGAGAAGAGAAGGAGACAAAGACAAACATTTAGAGCTCTTAGGATGCGTATTAACTGGACTTCCTGACTGCACGAGAACAGAATGCTATCTTAAAGTTTGTTCTATGTTTTACATTTTATACCATGTATACAACATTAGGCATCTCTGTGTGAGCATGTGTGCGTGCAGAGTGGATTAGAGCAATATTTCTCTCTGGTCGCACTAGGGTCATGGAGGGTGGACAATACAGGGCGAGTGGTTCACAGGGAGTCCAGTTGGCCTTGACTGGTGGTGGGGGGGGCGTTGAGTGGCACTTGGCTGCTGAATGGATGCTGGAGATGCAGCGGTCAAGACCTTGAAATACACCACCAATATTCTGCTATTCTATTAAGAAAAAAAACTATGACTATTAAAACTATTAATAGATCAACAGATAATAAATGGGCTATTTTGAGAAACGATTTAAGCAAAAATGCCAACAATTCTCTGGCTCCAGCTTCTCAAATGTGAGAATTTGCAGCTTTCCTTTGTTTTATGTGATTAAACTTTTTTTAATATCTCTGTGTTTTGCTGCGTTAGCTGGAGTTTTCTGATATTTTATAGACCAAATGATTAATCAAGATTAAAAAATATATTGTTGTATGAGATGTGATTACAACACCTTAGCTTAAATTTGAGACTTTTGCACTGATTATTACATACAAGCCACAGAAATAAGGCACCCTGTTTGTAAAGATGTCCCAAAGTTTTTCATGACTTTTTTATGACCCTTTTATGTTCATAATCCTCAACTATCCCTCTCAAAAGATGTTTAATTGACTTGTTTTCAATAAAAAAAAAGCAGTACCTTATTTCTTTAACACAAATGTAATGATCCATTTTAAAGTCTCCAATATAAAAACAATGATTACTTGAGGGGGCCAAACTGAGGCTAGCCACACCCATGAATATTTCAGTAGGCAAATTTGGGAGGGAGAGCGACTTAGGAAAAAAAAAGGGTAGAAAATGGGGGCTTTTAAGCTGCTGCCTCTTCAATTTAGGAGATGAGAATGAGTCTACTGAATAATGGATCTATTCATTGGTTTGGAGAAGAAAGAGGAGCAACAGAGTTGATATCAGTCTGGACTTAAACCCCTGGACCTCTGGGGTTTCTCTGCAATAGCAGGGGAGCTGTTTGAATCTGCCATTTATCAGCTTAGGCCTAATCAAAACCAGGCCTTCCGTGGCCTCGTCCTTTCACATGCAAAATGTTACATTCGCATCTAGTCAACTTGACTTGTTAAGGCTTGATTGATCAAAAAAACCTGCAGGGCCGGCATTGCGCATCTGTTTGCAAATATCTGTGATGAGAAGGGGCTGCAGGACGAGGATCTGGAGTCACACACATGCAGCCGCTGCTCAGCCTGCATGGGACCAGGCGGGGATTTAAAGTCTGCTCTCTTCAAAAGACACCAACACACACTCACATTGTGGCTGCATCAGTGCACTGGTCAATCTGCTAAAGTGAAATGGCAGCTTATGTGAGAGAGTGAATGGATCCACCTTCTCTTTTTTACAACAAGGCTGGCTGAGGTTGAGGTTCACTGACCATCTGGAGGAGAGTTAGCAGCTGACCTGTGGTGACTTCAGTGACTCCAGAAACACACATATAAACATATATTGTTTTTAAAAAGCACCTGTGGTGGTTTATTATGCTTGCTACTGCCCAGTCACAAACAATCAGGGTTGTGTGGGGAGGGAGTCCATCTTTTTTCTGCAGGTGGAAGAGCGTTTACTCAAATACGTTTAATTCAATTTAAAGATTCTACGCTATCTAGGTTGCAGTCCATCAGGACCAAAACCTCATGCCACAAAAACAGCTACTTCCCGACTACCGAGACCCTGGGACCCCCACTGACACTGACTACTATCCCGCCCTATGGACACTACATGTTACATTCATGTAGAGTCTCCACAGTTACATTAAGGCCCATTTTTTGCTAGGGCTGACACCTTCTGGTCGGTTGGTCGATATGCTCTTCTCCAACCAGATTCTCATTGGTCGGACAATCGCTGGTGATACTTTAATAAGGATATAAGCTCTTTTTAATTAAAGTTAAGCATTTCCTGCATGTAAAAACCTACCTTCTGATTCTTTTATACATTCAACATTTGACTTATTTTACTGCTGTTTTACTTTGCAAATGAGATTTTACTCAATACACACACTCAGCGTCCACTTTATAAGGTACGCCTGTACAGCTGAATGCAATCCAATACAACTGTTCTGCCATAAAGTCGACTTTTATGACGCCTGTAATGTTCAGCTTTTGTTGACACTGCCACAGAGATGTTAATGAAATTTCAGCATTGGATAAAATGCAGTCTAGTACAACACCACCTTTAAATAGGACCTCAGTCATAAACATATGATTTAATTCACACATTTCCAACAATGTCACCATAAACTTAACTTTATGAGCTGCACAGACAGACAGATGCTGTTGTACTGGAGTAAGAGTGTGTGGATATACACTATGTGTGAGAAGTTTATCTCCAGGTCGGTTTAGATCACATCATCAGGGCAATTTTAATAGATAATTTCTTATGTTTTGCAACTGTGTCCAGTACCAGTATTGTACTTAAACATAAATTTGAGGTACTTGTACTTTTATACTTGAGTATTTCCATTTTATGCAACGGTTTGGTTGTACTCCCAATACATCTTAGAGGTAAATTTCTACTTTTTTTACTCCAAATTTGTCTGACAGCTTTACTTTTGAGCTTACAATTTTACACACACTTCCTGTCCAGTGATTTCTTTTGTTGTTTACAAATTACAGAAACAATTGACTTGTACATTAGATTTAAATGTTTACGTTTACCCAGCTTAGTTTTTAGCTGTGTCTTCTTGGAACTGTGTGCAAGAACTTAAGCTGGAGTCAAATTCCTTGTAAGTGTTCACATACTTGGCAAATGAAGCCAATTATGATTGTAATGCTCTCTCAGAATTATTCTCAAGTTAGCATGTCTGTTTTATTATGGGGTTCATTGTAGAGGGAGTTTAGCAGGACCTCTAATCAGCGAATGTACTGTAAAACAATCACCAAAAAGAGGTAAAATTATGGTTTGAGGAAAATATAATATATATATTACACCATAAAACTAAGATACATTTGAAACAATTTGCTATGATATAAACTGTGATGGTAAACAATTAGGATATATAGGAATATATGCTGTTTTGTGAATGAAGCAGAGTTTAAAAGAGTTCAAACTCAACATCAGTCCTGACCACAGCCTTGCTTGTTCTTGTCTGCACTGCTGCTGTATACAACACACACACACACACACACACACACACACACACACACACACACACACACACACACACACACACACACACACACACACACACACACACACACACTGTGCAATGCAGTGGTGCTGGTGGAGGTCGGGGGGTCCCTGGCTGAGGGGAGCACTCCGTCAGGGAATCAGCCAGACAAAAGGTGCAGTGGAGTGAGAGATTGAGGGAGGAAGCGAGGGCGGGTGGAGGAGCGGGACAAAGCCGAGGCAGTAAAGCCTCCTGCCTGATAGCCTTATCTGATTCCACTCCAGCGCTTGATGGCTTTTTTTTCACCCTGCCTTTAAAGCGCACAGGTTGTGCCTTTGGTGTGAAGCCTAGCAGAAAATGTTAATCAAGAGAGGGACTGTGTGGAGAAAGGCGAGAGAAAGGCGAGAGTCACTCTGCTGAGGCCATAATCTGTAATGAGACCGAGGCGATTCAGTTGCAATTGAGAGAGGAAGAATGGGGCCATGATGATGATGAGCAGGGAGGTTCACTCTTTCACTGGCGTTTGTTTTTCTGTTTTGTTCCTTTTCTCCTGCAGAGTCACTGCTCGTGCACCGGTCCGCAGGCTGCAAACAGCCGCGGGTCACAACTCATTTAACACACACTTGGACGTCACTTTTCAATGTCTGCAGCTGACAGATGAAAAACACTGCTGACTGCTCGTCTGACAACTATTGGTACTCATCTGTGTATGATTTATATTTCCTTCTGTGACCTTGGTGCAGCCTGAAATGTGTCCGTAGTATTGAGTATCAAAAACTGTCAGAAATTAAAAGCTGGAATCAAATATCCGGTCAGATTCAGTCTTGTTTGGTTATTTATTCAGATAGTTCCTTATTTGAATCATAATTCTGCCATTTTAGTCTTGAATTTGATACAACATGTAATATTTTGTAATAGAATAGAATAGAAGTCTTGAGAAGGATTCTTATGTTAAATACAAAAAAGGTGGAAAAAGAAGGTCAAGTACAGGTTCAGAACCTCAGGTAGGCCTATGATAGCGCCAACAGTATTGAACGAACAATACCATTTCCTCAAATCCAGCATCAACACAACACTGTCAAGATCCAAATGCAGTCATATAATACCCATCAGATCGTAGTTTTATTTACCTACTTTACTTTACATACTCTGATTTAAGAGTATGTCAGTAATTCACTTGATATCACCCTGCTACTGTAAGCTGCTTTTCTATGGCACCAAACTACAGGAAGCACAATATATTTTTGTTTGGTTTGTAGTTACTGCAAAGGTAAAAAGGTGAAATCACACATTTCTATGGCATAATATGTTTTACTCAAATATGTAGTTGCTGTGTTTCTGCAGCATGAAAGAGAGACAGCTAACGATAGCTAGCCCCTCTCTGTATAAGCTCGTTAGCCCGCTAGCTTCCACTTTAACTCCTCCAAAATGTTGAACGTCATAAAGGGACAGATGTTTTACATGACTAATGGTATATATAACTAGTGATATGTTGTAATGGCATCTGCATGGAAACTCAGGTAGCTACTGCACTGCAGTTACAATTAAAACATTTTAATTAATACCCAGCTCCACTGACCAGTTTGGTGCTTTTCCAACAGTTTATCAACGTGCACTTACACAAAAGTTTTCTTTCTATAACTGACTTGGCGAATGGTGTCAGAGCTACAATTCAATTTATAATACACATACACACAA